CACTTCCATCACTTTCTATCAATTTTTATATAATTGTATTTTCACCTGTTCACTCCGGCACTCTTCACAAACATCTAGGAAGATGGTTAGTTTTAAGGACTATAGGAAGGATAAGGGGTAAAATTTAATAAGTTTCACTTGATCATAACCTTTAATATATATATATATATATATATATATATATATATATATATATATATATATATATATATATATATATATATATATATATATATATATATATATATATATATATATATATATATATATATAAAACATTATATGTATAAATATATATATAATATAGTTTTTATTTTTATTATAGGTTTTTTGGCCTGATTTTCAGGTTCTGGCTTTTAAAAACAGACACAAAAGTGTTTCTGCACTTACAGCAAGGTCCAAAATTATAAGGGTCTGAAATTTAGCAAACTGCATGTACAAACCATTTTTTGTGTCTGTGACTTCATCAATATGCAGATCATATTGCAATGACCAAACTGCTAATTCACTGATGGTGAATAAGCAAATGTAAACATTTACTACATCCTAAGTGAATTTCAAAAACGGAAACAGTGGCAGCAGTTTTTTCTTGGCACTTTTTTAGTACTTCTGAAAGTCAATTGCAAAATGACACTCAAAAACGCCTGCGGCCATTGACGCCACAAAAGAAGCATTGGTGCAATAACAAAGGATGGAGAGAGATTCTATGTGCTTGAAAAATATTTGGACAGTCAAAAATGAGAATTGTAGAATAATATTAATGAAAAAACATCTACAAGCCAGCACAAATTAATTCCCACAGGACGGTAGACAAGCTTTATATGCTTTGGCCCTATTGTGGCTCCAACTTTCTTACAATGTACCCCATCCTACATAGTTAGGTTATCCTGAGCTATTTTCTGTATCCTCATTTCGCTTTATTCCATCTCTATTCTCCCACTCTGCAGTATTCGTCAAGTTCTACTGATAAGATTACGCTCTCTCTGCTTTTTCATCATAGTAGCTTCATCTGGCTGTGGCTCCATCCTGGATTGAAATATCAGCTGCTCTGCTGCAATCTGCCACTGTTTATGCAGTAGATATTGGAGCTTGCCCTGTTTCCAGTGTAGTTTTTTTACTGTGACTAACCTTGAACCCCAGTCGGCCTCAGCAGGTGGCCGCTCAAACTGAGTGGTTCTGCTGGAGGTTTCTTACTGTTAAAAGTGAGTTTTCCTCTCCACTGTCACTACATGCATGCTCTGTGTGAAGGATTGCTAAGACTTAAGGCTGATTTATACTCAGAAACCAGGTCATCTGCGTGTGTCGCAGTGAACGCAAATGTACCCCCGCCCCTTCCGCAGACACTCTGGTGCACCTCTCCAAAATAGTAACTGACCACAGACAGTGCCTCATAAAGGAGGCCTCTGATTGGTCAAAATTACATCCGCTCTACATTATGCATATTTCCTGTTTGGTACCTTATAGGCTTGTTTTGTTTGTATGACCGCCATTGTGGAAGACGACTTATGAAGATGTACAAGCTAGGAGAGCGAGGTGCGCAAGAATGCTGGGACCCTTTACACCTGGATCCCCACTCTTTTTCGCCCTCATGCCCATCCGTTGTTGCACAAATTTGCCCCTTTAATTTTTCCACTTCCTCACCACCTCGGCCGTATCTAGACCCACAGCTAGTTCTTGACCCGCTTGTCACTCTTGTGTTGTGGCGTAACATAGCGCAGACCACGATTCCAATATTGGGCATAAATCAAAAATATCTGCAACAAGTTCATTGCGACACACTGCTGCGGAAGTATAACCAGCCCTTTAGACTCAACTTTATTTATCCCTAGAGATTACTCCTTCAGGGAAATTCTGGTTTCAGTAGCTTATATAGAGTACAAAGTGTCAAAGCAAAATGCCACTAAAGATACAAATAAGACAGACAATATAGAAAGAGGTTATATAGTACCAAAAAAAGCATAAAAAATGAAACAAGTCCTGGAATATGTTTCCCTTAGGTATAAAAATATCTGCACAGTGGAGAGAAGACTATAGGAAGGGAAGACTATATAGTATTTGAATAGGGTTATTGCACTTGCACTGCAGAAAAGTACTGACCATATAAATAAGTGAAAATTAAACAGACTGAACATTAGTTGACTTGGATTATTGCACTTGTACAGCAGAGATGCACTGACCATAAATAAGTAAAAAGAATCACACAGGCTACACAGTGGTTGGTGTGTGTTATTGCACAGTGTGAGAGAAGAATATTGCACATGACTGACAATATGTAATGTTTTGCATAATTTTCCAAGGAGGAGGGTGCTGACCCTTGTCCCTGGTGAAGAATCAAGAACACAATGCAAGAGAAAGTCGTCACCGCAGGCTAATCCAGGAGGAGCATCAGAATCAGTTCAATCTGAAAAACTCACACAGAGAGAAAAGATAATTAGAAGAATTTATTGATAAGAAAGTATAGTCTTTGGCGCTCAGACCTCGGCAGGAACATTCATGCTGAATTATGCTTTAACATGCATGAGTAGATGAATGTGAATAGGGATGTTCCCCCGGGCCTGAAACTGGTGGTGGTTTAATCCGAGCTGGTTGACAAGGTGATCTGCTGGGCAGAATTGAGGGACTAGAAGACTGAGGGAGCTGACGCCGGGGCTTCACTCAGACTCGGGATATAGAGGTCCTGCTTGGTGATGCAGGTACCGTGAACTGTCCATGATGAGCAAGCATGAAGCGACAGTGGAGAGGAAAAACTCCCCTTTGGGAAGAAACCTCTGGCAGAACCGGGCTCAACATGGTGGTCTTCTGCCGGACCAATGCGATGAGACGAGGGATAGTGACAACTGGAATTAATACTCTCTGATGAGGTTGAGGTGAAGTCGTGTCATGGAGGACGATTCAGCTGTGATGGCGGAGAAGGGGATGGAGGTGGGTGAATTGTCGTCTGAATCGAAATCCGACCTTGCGATTGCAGGATAGCGGCTGTGGTGAGATTTGAGGGAGTTTATAAAGTGGAAGCAGGACGCTGATTTGGCTTCATGGTGGAGTAGTTCGAAGCTGATTGGCTCGCTTCAGAGACGGATCGGCTTCTGATTGATGGAGGTAAGTCAGAGTTTCTTCAATTGAACTTCCGCTAGAGCTTCATAATCAGACATATGGAAGTAAATCTGTGTCGCTGGGGTTTGAATTAAAAATGCTACTGAAATTTAAATGTTGTATGTTTGTACTGTTTCAGTGTTAAAATATATTCAGAACACATTTTTGACCTAAAAAAAAAATTCATTGTCATTATTTCTACACAAATGAAATATCATTTATTTTCTCTTCAAGCTAAAAATTCACATTACTATTTCAGTGATTACATTTTCAATACTTTTTTTCAGTTTAATTTTTCAGTGTTAAAAAAAATCTGTATATAAAAAAATTCAACCTTTCAAAATTCAAACTCAATAGTCTGTGACCTGAAGTAACCCTTCCCCTTTTACACTGAATTTAAGACGGTGAAATAGAGCCAGTTGAATCTCAGGAGGCTGAAAATATTGAGTTTGAATTTTGAAAGGTTGAATTTTTTTATATACAGATTATTTTAACCCCAAATAATTAAACTGAAAAATAAGTATTGAAAATGTAATCACTTTGAAATAGTAATGTGATTTTTTTTAGCTTGAAGAGAAAATAACAAATGAAATTTCATCTGTGTAGAAATAATGACAATGAATTTTTTTTAGGTCAAAAATGTGTTCTGAATATATTTTAACACTGAAACAGTAAGTACAAACATACAACATTTAAATTTCAGCAGCATTTTTAATTCAAATCCCAGCGACACAGATTTACTTCCATACAGACACACTTTAGTAATCCTAGAGGGAAATTACAGTAATGTCTTGCAAATCAATGACTGGATGCTATCAACTGGTTTTCCTAAACAATCTGACAGTATTGTCTCTGTAAAATGCCTAATTGGCTGGCATGTCTTAACCTTTGTGCAGCAGTCTTTGTAGATCACCACCAACATGGCCACTTATTGGATGTACTATTAAAAAAAATGCATGTGCAATTTAAAGCCTCTTCTTTTGAACATTTGAAGATCAGGGACAGGGGCCGTTTATACAATTTATGTTAAATTTGTAATGTTACTGGATTGTGTAAAATAAAGTTATTCATTCATTCATTCATTTGTAGTGGTGCACAGGAGTAAACCTATTACCTATAAAGAAAAGGATACTGCTTGTGATTGCAGCTCTATAGGTCCTCAGCTGAATGAATGACTGCCCAGATCGTGCCAGAGCTTTGACCTGCCATTTATTTAGTTTAAATATCCTACTGCCAAACATAAGAATAATCTGAGGTTTTAATCGTCTGATGTTGCAACACATCCAAAATTTTTACATCTTATTTCAAATAATGTACATCTATTTATTTTTTAAAGGGGAATGTTAAAACAGTCACAAACATCTACAAAGATCAGCCCTATTCAACTAAACCATAAGTCACTACATGTCTGTCTCCATGTCTCTCTAATTGTTTTTATTTCCAGACTTTTTGTAAAAAAATTTGTGAACCTCTGTGCCACAATTACTCGATTTGTCAGAGCATTTAGTTTTTCAGCAATATAGGAAACAGAAAAGTGTTAATGGTTTTAAAAATGAACATGTTCTTCTTTCAGACAGTAGAAATCACACAGGTTGATTACACATGATTCCAAAGATTTTAAATCTTCATTTTAAGTGTATGATTTGCAACACAGTCAAGAGAAACACACATTTCTTAAAAAAAAAAAATTGAAACAAGTTTCTCATGAATGAAATATGAAATATACACATTTAAAGCTTAAAAAAAATGTTTCACCTTCATAAACACAAATGTCAGGCACTGCATTTCCTAGAATTATTCCTGATGTTTTCATTCCTGTGTTTAGATCAGTATCAAAGTGCAGCACAAAAGGCTGCGGGCTAATGCAACCTGATTTGAATCATGTCATGCATAGTCCTTTGGGGCCTTACCCTGCATGCCGGTGGGACCAAAGCCTTGGCGAGTGAGGAAAATTGCGTGGTCGTGGTGTTCAGCATGATCAGGGTCGCTTTTCTGCTGCACAAAAGCCCAGCGGCAAACATTCTCCAGACTCCGTGATGGGTTTCCTCTTTCAATGAGGCTGATGGACTGACAGACAAGAAAAAGTAAAACTTCTCAACTCAGACTAGTTTCCCACAGGCAGCAGCACTACATTCAACTCTTTGTTAGTGGAATGTTTGTTAGTGGAAAATATCTGTGAGGGAACATTGTGAAATATTAATATGAATTATTTCTCTTATCATTTGTGTTTAACATAAAGTGATGGAATAAGATGTGAAAGGTAGATGTTTGATTTTGTTTCAATTTTGATACCAAATGTAGGTATTACACAGTGTGAACTGCTAATTTAGTTTTCATTCAGTTAACTGACCATTCGGACAAATGCAGGGATTAAAGCACAAAATAATCCTGAGCCTGAACTCATATATATATATATATATATATATATATATATATATATATATATATATATATATATATATATATATATATATATATATATATATATATATATATATATATATATATATATATATATATATATATATATATATATATATATATATATATGTATATATACCGTATTTTCAAGACCATAAGGCGCACCGTACTAAAAGGCGCAGTCTCAGTTATGTGTGCCATTTCTGTAGTTAACACACACATAAGGCGCACCGGACTATAGGGCGCGTGTTTTATATACAGGTACATGTCCTCTACTACCTTTAAATACCTCTACTGCATATTTAAAAATAGAGCGGGAGCAAAACTGAGTATGACTGTGCTTTATTCATGAATTTATTACAAAGTATTAATCAAACCTGGGAGCTGGCCGTGAGACAGACACATCGCTCTGATGACAGATTGCTGTGATCACTCCTCTGAAACAGTTTATTGACGCATAAATTAACTTAAAATGCAGTAATCTGCTGGCAGAATATGTTCGCTTTTATTATCCTGCTGCCTGCCTCCTCGCGGCCAGCCAGAGGCTGTTGTTGAATGGATTCCTACTGTCGGCGCACCGCTCGTATGTGGGGGTCTGAGCGCCTCTGACAGAAATACTATTAGAAGGCAGGATCTTCTAATCTGGATGAACTGACTGCAATGATTAAGTTTTCAGGTGGACTTTCACACTTAAAAACATATTAAAACTACTTTATTCCCACTGATCACAGCAAATATAGCAGCAAGGTGTATTTATTACAAAGTATTATTCAAACCTGGGAGCTGGCCGCTCTGAAAAAGTTTATTAACACATAAATTAACTTAAAATCCTGAAACCTGCCGACAAAATATGTTCGCTTTTATTATCCTATTATCCTTTTATAATCCTTTAGATTATTTAGATGAAAAACACCTACCAGCAGCCGCGGTGAACCCGGAGGCTGCTGTTGAATGAAGTTTTCAGGTAGAAAAATAGAGCGGGAGCAAAACTGAGTATGATTGTGCTTTATTCATGTATTTATTACAAAGTATTAATCGAACCCATCAAAGTCATCATCCTCTGTTTCTGAATTAAACAGCTGCACTAAATCAGACATGCCAATTTCCCCTTCTTCGCTGTTAGAGTCCCTTTCCGTGCCGGGCGGCTCCTCAGAAATGATGAGCTCGAACAACAGTGCCAGCAGACACGTTAGTCCAAGCATCTACAATCCATCCGCAAACAGTGGCGTTCCTTTCTTTGCCTTGCAGCTATATTTGCTGTGATCAGTGGGAATAAAGTCGTTTTAATATGTTTTTAAGTGGGAAAATCCACCTGAAAACTGGATAATAAAAGCGAACATATTCTGTCAGCAGGTTAAGTTAATTTAGGCGTCAATAAACTGTTTCAGAGGAGCGATCACAGCGCTCTTATATGTGTATCATCAGCGATGTGTCTGTCTCGCTGTCAGCTCCCAGATCAGCTTCAATCAAAACTTCAATTTTTCCATCTCGAGCTGCAGCAGCGCGTTGGCGGCGCGTCAGATGCTTAAACACTCCCGACACGCTGCACCTGCTGCTCAAAACGCGCTGCAGGACCTTTTGCTGAGCCTATATGCGTGTCAACCATTGACTTTGCATGTAAACTCGCTGCTTCTGCTGCACCTGCTGCGTCCGGTTCACACCGATGTCGAGCGGTTGATTAACAGCAAGCACAGCATTTGTTTCACCATGTTTTTCACATCAGCTGTGAGATGGGCATGCATGGAGTCACAGATTAACAGCAATGGTGATGAGTGGAAAAAAACCACCTGGTCTCCTTACATTCACCTCCCTCAAAGTCCGTAGAAACAACACACATAGGGCGCACCGCACCAAAGGGCGCGCCGCACATTTTGAGGGGAAAAAATACGTTTATATGTGCCTTATAGTCATGAAAGTACGGTGTATATATATATATATATATATATATATATATATATATATATATATATATATATATATATATATATATATATATATATATATATATATATATATGCACGTGTGTGGGGGCATGGGATTAGACATTGCATGAATGATTTAAGACTAAATTTGAGTTTTGAAAATCTAATACCAAAAACATTGGAGTGGATTCAATACCAAAAAATTGGAGTGGATTTTAGAATTTTCCGGACTTGGGGCCAGGCCCTTGGGGCCTGGGGCCAGCATACTTTAAGCCCTGGAAATGATCACCACTTTTCGCTCTCCGTTGGTCACATGACTCCGCCTCCCTGCATGGTGCGGGCGCCATCTTTGTTAATTGTCGTCGCTGTCAGGTAGCGACAGTCTATGGCAAAAGCGGGCTGCTGTGACAGCAAGTCCCATGATACTTTGCGAGGAGAGCTCTCGAAAAGCATTACAGGAAATATGTGCACATCTAGTCACCATGGATGATCACTTCTTTTCAAGCCACTTGTCTGGTGCCCTGTATAGTGATTAGGGTGGACATTCAGACACAGCCTAGGTATTGTTTGAATCTATTTTTGTCAAATGTTAAGAAAACGAGCACTATGCAATCTTTGCAATCCACTGATTGGTTTCTTTGGCTGAAATAATTACTCATGTCTTTCACCTGCTTAACTCTGTCCAGCTCCTAATCATCACTCATCTCATCTACCTGCCGCTTTCCCTTATATTGGGCTCTGTTCCATATTCCGTTCCCTCTCACACTGGCCCTGTCTGTCCTCGTCTGATCTGCTTGCCTGAACCTCTGTTGGACTCCTGCTGGATTCTGGTTCTGGATTTCAAGGTGCATTTCTGTCTGATCTGGATGCTCCACCCTCGGGACTCTGAACCTGTCCTACAAGGTGCATTTTTGTCTGAGCTGGATGCTCGACGAACGGGACTCTGAATCTGCCTTCGCACTCTGAGGGAGTCCTGGAATCCAGATCTGTTTGTTCCTGAATGGACTGTACTGTTAAACCAGAATCAGTGATTGGTTGCGCCTGGCACCTGCAGTCGTTTCAGTCGCAGTTCCACAGCAGAGCGCTTCTGTTATTTCTGTTTTATTCTAATAAACGTTTTGAACTTTCCTATTGGCTGTCTCACCTTGAATACTGGGTCCATCTGTCCCGTTTTATGACAACACAACTGATTTTAAAAGCTAGTTTGTTAGTCTTCTTCATTCTTCTTCATTCTTTTTGAATGAACTTTAATGAACTTTAAAAACTTTAAAAGGTTTAACAGGAAATAACCTTTCCTCTCCAAATCTTTCTATAGAAAACACTGAACGCTGAAAGGTCTTGTCTCTTTTAGGATTGTGAAAGCATGCATAATGGCATTTCTCAATCATTTAAGCCCGGTTAATGTAAGAGTAGGTATAAACTTATACTTTTAAAGCCATAGAAAAGACTAATTTAACATAACTGCAGCAGCTAGGACAAAGCAACATACTGAGCAGCAAATATGTTTTAAAACTCACCTTGGCATAACCCAGCATGATCATCCTCACCAGCACCACGTTGATATGAACTCCCAATGACTCATCGTGGTAAATTTCATTCACCTGGGATGAAGAGACAGTATGGAATTATAAAATATCTCTTACATAAGTTTTCGTTTCACCAACCGCATCTGCATCAATTTCAAGTTTCATCCTCTGTCCATTCAGGACTGAGCTTCAACATCTGATGTGAGTCACATGAAATCACAGAGCTTTGTAATCACAGAGCTTTGCACCGCTGGCTGCAATAAATGCAGTCTATCATTGTGTCCTTTTATCAGAGTACATGGTTGCTGTATGAGAAAAATGAAATGCAATCATCTAAATAACAGTGTGTGAAGCCCATCTTAAATTACAGCAAAAGCACTTTCTTTAAAGTTTTCAAACAGAATTTCATTTTTGTTCTTTTTTTTGTTTTTGTGAAATAGCATTTCATGATTTAGAAACCAGCTGTAATTTGATGACTCACTTTCTTGGTCTGAAAGAGACCAGATGAAAGTTCAGAGGATAACACAAACAACGCATAAACGGATAAAAGAGGAATGTCTGAGATCCCTTTCTCAGTAGTTTGCTTCTGAAAATGTAAACTGTTTTTTGAAAGGACAATGCATTCATTCATTTCACCAAAAGAGTGGTGTTGAAATTAGTCTTACTCCAGTGTTTTGGTTTATTTTATTTTTCAAATGGTATTTTTAAACAGGAATCCTGACACCTTGAATAAATGTACTCAAAAGAGGAATGTAATACAGATGATGTTATATAGGGAAGCATTCCTTTTGCATTTTAAAAAGGCTCTGGATTTTGAAAGATAAATACCATTCTGCTATATGATTATTTGAATGGACACAGGGACATAATAAGGCACTATTGAAAGTCTACTACTCCAGTAACCCTGACCAACATGGTTAAATGAAAAAAATGTGGGAACTTTAATATCCACATTCTAAACTAACAGCTTAACACCTATTAGGTCAGTATTTCAACATTCACAAAGAGAAGCTGCTTTAACAGTTACAATTCCAGGAGATCCAACAACTGGGGAACAAAAACACAGGTCAGATGAGGGAACCACCATCAACCTGATTCAACCCATGATTCAAAAGCAACTGAATGGGAGAATTACTGACCTAAGAAATAAAATCATGGTTCAGATGAGAACCATTAAACCCCAACATCGGCTAGCAAATATAACTATGGTTTTACTAGGTGACCTGCTGGCTGATGTGAATACATCACTAAGTACAGTACCATCACAGAAACTAATGAGCTGAAATACAGTACAGCATTAATGATCCTTGAGATGTTTGGCCAAAGTAAAATCAAGAAGGTCCATAGAGAACAATGTCTGCCGTTGAAGAGAAGGTTATAAGCCAGAATGAAGACAAAAGAAAATAAATAAGCCAATGAGCCAACCCACCAAGACTGGAGACTGAACAATACCGTGAAAGTAACTGGGAGAAAGAAGCATCACATAACTGATGCACAGTGGCTAAAAGATCTAAGAGCTGACCTTGATAACCTCCCTGAACACGATCCAAGCACATCAAAAGGACAGACCAGGAACAAAGACTGTCCGGTGTGAAGCACTCTACAGCACCAGGCCCAGACATAATCCATACTTACTTCCTAAAGAGGCTGATTTCTCTACATGAACATTTAGCATGACCCACCTTGAAGGGTGGACCGGGGGCCAGACAGTCCTAACAATGCAATAAACCCAGAAGGGATCAGTTCCATTCACAAGCTCTTGTCAGGCATCCTAGCGGCAAAGATAATTGGACACGTGGATCCTCACAAGACAGAGGCAATGAAAGGCATTGATAAAAACACCAGAGAATCCAAATACCAACTACTAGTTGACAGAACAGTCACATGAGAGTTTAAAACCAGGCAAACAAACATTTGTGCTAGCTGGGTTGATTACAAGAATGCCTACGACTCAATGCCACACACATGGATCCTGTACAAGATCAACAGCACCCTTAAGAGCCTTCACTGCAAACTCCAGGAGTCTGTGGAAAACCACACTTGAGGCCAACTTCAAACAACTTGCAAAAATCTCCATCAAATATGGAATATACCAAGGAGATGCTCTGCCCCCCTGCTGTTCTATATAGGCCTGAACCCCCTCAGCCAAAAAATCAACAAGACTGTCTATTTATACTGACTCAGAATGGGGCCACTATCAGCCCACTCCTGTAAATGGAAGGCATCAATCTGTATGCTAGGAGTCAATGAGACATTGACTCGCTGATCCACAACACCAGTGACATCGGAGCGTTTTTCGGGCTGGGGAAATATGGCTGGATGGTGAAAAGGAGAGGGAATGTTATTCAGAGAGGGGATCGCACTGCTAGAAGGGAGATGTAGAAGAGAGCTACAAGTACCTTCGAATACCACAAGCAAATGGCAACCACAAAGAGGCCACAAGGAAAGCAGCAACAGCCAAATACCTGCAACAAGTAAGGCAAGTTCTGAGAAGTCAGCTCAAGAGTTAGAGTAAGGTCTAGTACTGTATGTTATTTATTATCATAACATGAAATCTCAATCTTTATGTTTGGGTTGCCTTAATCATTTATTTTCTTTAATACACAGGAGCAAGTCTTTAAAGGGGGGGGGGGGGGGGGGTCTACCACCTTCGATTAAAGGCGGTGGACTCAGATTCCAGCTTCCAAAAACTTACAATTCAGGTATAGAGATGATCCCGTTCAGGTATCCCTTAATCATAGACAGGTTTCAGGTATTACAGGAGACAATCCCCCCCTTTAACGACCGACCTTCAGAATCATAGACAGGTTTCAGATATTACAGGCTAACAATGGAACCAAACGACCCGCTCGTCAGTTTCAATTTGCCACTTTCCAAGCAATAGAAGGCCTTGCTATGTAAAGATTCAAACTCACTGCGGATCCAGACATTGAATTGAGAAAGCTTCCTGGAGGGGAAGCAAACGTCTTCAAACCTTGGAAACCAAGTCCAGTGGATTGTTTTTTTTAAACTTTTACAGAATGACTATGACCTGGATGACTGAGAACCTTCATCAGCATATCAAGATACATCATGTGCAACAAAGTTCATTTTTGGGTACTGCAGTGACTTGATACAAGAACCGGTGGATGTATGAGTTCATCTGGAAAACCAATGTTTTTATATAGTACACTGTGTAAGGAGTTTAATTGTTGTTCACAATACTCTGTAATGGCTGGCCCTCAATAAAATGACCCTCTCTTTAGTGTGAATTGTGTTGGAGTGGAACCACAGTGACATCTGCACCACCAACATGCCATTGATTCTGCCCCTCTGATGCCTCTCTAGATGTTGCCAGATACTTGCTAATCGAATCATTAGCATATCCATTGTGGATCTCCATGTACACCAAATGACTTTCAAATCAGAACATTCCTGCTGTGAACTCAGCTTGTTTGTACATTTGGGGGGAAAAAATTGTGAGATGGCAACAGGTGAATATTTCATTGCCCTAATTTAGCTAAAAAGCCATCAAAATATCAATCTCATGAAATATTAAACATGTAGCAGTGAAATGAAATGCATGCAAAAGGAGAAAAAATATATACATATTATTTTAATATTAAATGTTGCCAAAATGTTATCGCTGCATTACACATGAACAGGGAACATTTAAATAAGACAGATGACCTTTGGAACGCATTCAGCTGCCAGTCGCACAGCTCAGCCATGCTGTGCGAAGAAATTATTGACTGTATGTTGAGCAGCAATCGACTCAGTGAGCAACTCAACTCACTGCTCAGCACCTCCCATAGTTACACTGATACAACGGGTTTAATTTTCTCTGAGGCAATGATTTCTCACTAAACTTATCCATCTCACTGTCCTCAGAGCAGTTATCGTGCCTCATCTACTGAAGTGCTGTGGTACAAAAGAACAGCGAATCTATACACCAAATTACTAAGTGTCCAGCAGATTTTTGGCCCTCAAAAGCTGAGATATTTTTGATGAAACCATTTTTGCTGAGAAACGGAGAGGGAAAGATGGATTAAACTCTGAACTCTGCTTGCAGAGCACTTCTGCTCTTCCATCAGATTCTCCTTTAGCCAGATCTAAAAGCAACCACTAATAATATATATACCAATCAGATGGCCCTAAAACGTTGATGCTGCAATTTCTTAACTGCTTCCTCGCTGCTACAAGGGAGTTAATTCCTTCTGGGTGTATTAGCTGTGTTCACCCCCAGCGTCATTTACACAGTTCAAGTACACTGATACAAAAATAAAACTATCTGCAAAAGGCCTCTAACGGGAGAAAAGCAGGTTAGAGCTGAAGATTTAATCAATAAAACCATCTCTACTGTCAGTAAAGGTGACACATCTTTCATGGTAAAACATACAGAGAATCACCTGTTATGAGCTTTAATAGCCTATGTGTCTCTCTCTGGAGTAATTTACTCTTTATTTATAGACACTCCCCGTCCTGCTTCAGGTTGCACTGACTTTCAAAAGACAGATATGAAGGCTTTTGTAACAAAAAGTTCAAAGTAACATAGACTAAAACTTGGAGGGGATAAAAAGAGGTAATATTCAATCCATTCAGTCCAATGTGATATATGACCAGTCAGTCTGAGACTCCGAAATGTGTTCGATTATTTTACATTTTCTTTGAACATATCAGTTTAGTGGCTACTTTGTGATACAACCAGCAGTCTTTGGAGTTAGTGATCTTGAAAGCGGCACTGATCTATCCCTATATACACTTCAGGATGTAGACAAATCACTTCAGGATGTGTCTACACCTGTATTCCCAAATAACTTTAAGCCAGTATTTCCACCACTAATGAAAGGAACATTCATTATATTTTCTTTATCCGGCCAGTTTAAAGCATAAGTCATTTAATGTTGCCTGTAATGTAGAAAAGGTCTTTACTCTGTCACTTTTAAAAGAAAACTAAAAATCTGCATATTACACACTTTATTTTAATTTTAAATAACCCAACAGAAGTAGTAAGTTATGAGTTTCTTTCCAATACTTACGAAATTTATGAATGGATTTTAGCTTTGTTACCCTAGTTAGCTCAAATTCTACTCATT